TTAACCCGCTGCGCCACCAGGGAGGGCCCTATACCATATCTTCTTAATCCACTCATCTGTCATTGACCATTTAAGTTGTTTTTATGACTTGGCTATTTTAAAGGAGCTGTAATGAATGTAGGAGTGCCTATATCACTTTGAAATTTATTTATTTATTTTGCATTATTTGGGTACTTAGGATAAACTATATAGTCAGATATCAGATCTATTTATAATATTTTGAGAAACCACCACATTGTTTTCTATAGGGGCTGGACCAGTTTACAGTCCCACCCCACCAACTGTGCAAGGTTTCCATTTTCTAAAGATGGAATCTTGGCTGCTTTATGCCCAATGCATGATCTTAATACAACTTAATTAGCCACTGCATAAGTTGGGGAGGAATTAAGTTTATATTGTAAGTTCCTTGTTTTGTTTTAATGAGAAGTATACAGGGCTGACAAAAGAAAGGTAGTTTAACAACTCTAGCTTCCTTTCAGTTTTGAAAAATTGACAATTTACAGAAAATTAACACCAACTTTTAATTGTGCTTGGCTTTTGGGCACACAAGTGTTGCATTATGTTCTTGGTTTTATAAGTGTTTTCTAGAGACTGAAGGCAGAATAAACAACCCTAGTCAATCTGTGGTTATCCCTGCCTACTGCTCCACTCAGCAGAAGAGATACTGAGAGAAAAACTTATAAAGCCCCAAGCAAATCTGTTTCATTAGTCAAAAAACAAGTGGTTATTATGAACACATGCCACACACTGAATGCATGCTATTGAGTCTCTTTTAGCTGGATGAACTTGTTTGTGTGAAAGCTGTGATAATTTACAGTGTATGTGGTTTAAAAAAACTCTTAGAAAAATACCTGTTATTAGAAGAGAATGATATTTTCTTAAATGTAGCATCTTCAAATATTCCATGGGCCATTTGTACTTGAATCCGTGACAGGACCCCCATTTTATACGGAAGAGCCAGTGATAACATTTGCTTTTTTTCTGCTGGTTCCAGTTCTAAGTATGTGAATATAACTAATCCTCATTACAACTTTATGAGGTAGGGCATATTATTATCTACTTTCAGCTGATGAAAAAACTAAATCACAGAGAAGTGAGTTTTCCAAAGTCACATCACTGCAGAAAGAATGATAGAAGTGAAATTTGATCCCGTTGGTACTACAACTGAGAAAAGAAAGCAAACATTTAAGAAAAAAAAATCTTACACACAAAAAAGCAATATGGGTGAATTGGTAGTAGGAATTTCATGGAGACTACATCTGAAAGGAGAAAGCACATACTGTACAAAATGAACACTGAGGTAAAATATATGTAAAGACTTCTTTTTTTTAAGCAAAAAAAAAAAAGTGGAATTTGAACTCCTGGTTTCTGGTTCTAGTCACCTTCACATGCTCAAGTGTGTGCTCCTCTGTGGAGAGAAATAAGGAAAGCTGGCATATGGCATGAAACCTCAGTTCACTAACTGAAAAGAATAAAGAGCAAATTAACACAGCTATCCACTTGGCTTGTAACCAATACTTGAGAATTAGAAATTTATAAGTAGCATTTGATATGCAATTCTGGATGAGAATGATGAGGCCTTCCTTTGGGATGGAAGGTAAAGACAAAACCTCCTTCAGAGACTTGCTAGGTAAGCTTAGACCCGACCAAGGCAATAGCCTACATCTAATATGCTAATATTCTCAGGAAACAGAGGAAAATGTGTGTGAAAGAAAGCTCTGAAAGCTTTTCCAGGGGACAGTGTACCTGTAGTGTGCTTCCTGTCAGAGATGTGAGGGCAGAGAAATAGAATGAGAGTTAAAGGTTAACAATACCTTTATTATTAAAAGTTGGACAGAATTATTAAATGGTCTGCAATTATTATATGTGATTTAATTACAATTCCTCTAAATTTACTCCTCTGGTGTATTTATGACCAAAAGAGGACCAAAAGAAGTCTACTCTAAAATTTTGTAAACATTTGAAGTTATTCCTGATACTATGTGAATGGCCACTCATTAGCTATGCTGTCTTGGAAGCAAAACCACTGCTGGTCAGAACTGTGCTTGATTCTGTTTGATTGGATGTTGGCCAGATAGGCAGATTTTGGAATGGATTGTCTTAAATATACATGTTAAAATAACAAACAAGACATTCCTAAATGATTAAGATCTTTCTTGTTTTTCCCAGTTTTCTACAACTGATGAAAATTTGTGTTGACATCATTAACTCATTGTGAAAAATTATAACAGGCATGCTTTCTAAGAAAGAAGAAAAACATAAAGCTATAATTGAAGTTTTTGTTCAAATGAAAGTTTTGGAGAAAACATCCTCTAGTGAAGAAGGATAGCATCAGTAAAGTCTTAGTCCTGCCACAGTGTCTGTACATTTCTAGGTAGGTTTTAAGAATACAACTTTGGTTTAAGACTACACACACACACATGCACACACACACATTGGCCATGAGGAAGAAATAATTCTTGCCATTTGAAACAACATGAATGAAACTTGAGGGCATAATGATAACAGCTATACTAAGAAAGACTAGAGGGGCTCTCCCTGGTGGAACAAGGGGTTAAAGCACTGCATCATGAAGCTCTCCGAAGCTACTACAACACGAGTTCAACCCCCCACCAGGGAGCTGACCCACATGGTGTGGCAGACTTCTCCTGACCCACCCGCTGATCCCCTCAACAGTGCATTTCAGAAGATCTGCTTGTTCTGCTCCCCATTCTGTCTCTGGTGAGTCCTCTCATCCACCACACCTCTGGCCTGTATCCCAGTTCTGTAAGCATAAATAAATAAATCTTAAAAAAAAACTAGAAAAGTACTGTATTATATAATTATATGTGAAATCTTAAAAAGAACCCACATATCTAGAGGCCGATAGTAGCAGGAAGTTGCTGAGGGAAAGGGTGGAATGGTTGGGGATGGGTAGTAGTCAAAGAACATGTTTCTTTTTTTAAATTATATACATATATATATATATGTGCGTGTATGTGTGTGTATTTACATCATTCTTCACTTTGTACATTTTTTTCACCTCAGTTGTAATCCCTGTGAACTTCCAAAAGACAAAATCATTCTACAGATTTAAGCTACAACATGGTGACTTCAGTTAATAAGATTGTATTGGAAATGTGAAAGTTGTTAGGGAAAAACATCTGGAAAGTTCTGACTGCTCCCCCCACCCCCATAGTCCCACCAGATGGCAACCATGTTAGGTGATAGATGTTAACTAACCTCTAGTAACCACTTTGTAGTATATAGGAATATCAAATGATCACATTGTGTACATATTTATACAATCTTATATGTCAATTATATTTCCATGAATCTATAAGAAAAAAAGATTGGAGGATGTGTGGTAAAAATCTACATTTTTATTGATTCAAAAGCACTCTGGTTTTTAAACTTTCATTAATTGTTCACTGCTCAAGAATGTAAAAAACTCAAGATACTAATCAGTTTGGCTTTTATAGTAATATGGGCTCCTAGGACTATTTAGAAACCTATTAGAAATCACTAAATTTATATTTCAGAATTTTGGGGGGATATAAACATATTTTGTTTAGGGAGAAATCTTTTCATCGGTTTCTTGATGTTTGGTTTCTTCATAATATATATCATCGGCTATGTAGTAGATCTAGTTTTTCATGTTCCTGAGTCTAAAAATCAGATTTATATTTCAATCTAAAACCCCTACTCATGGTTCTGTATATGAACCAAAATACCAGCTGTGTCTCAGACCTTTGGCTCAGATCATTTGTTGTTATTAATGGGGTGCATAAGGCTAAAAGCCCACTTGCTACCCAATTGGAAACCTTGTAAAGGAACAAATTCCCAGAGTGCTCTTTAGTCTATCTGTTCTCTATGTTGGGTTTCAAAACAGTAACCTTAACATTAGCAACACACTGCTGAGCACAATTTGTATGGAACCAAATTGGGATAGATTTGTTCCAGCCTCAAAAATGATTTTTCTCTAATACTGGTCTAAAAGACTTGATGAAATCTTGGCAACTTCAAGCACAAGCTAGTCATTTGAAAGTAGGGATAGAAAGAGCAGTTGTTCTGCTCAAGTTATATGAATTGACATCTTTCAATTTCCACTTTTAAGGTGAGGATACTTTTCTTGTATTAAATGCTTATTGCTGTATACAACCAATGTGTTTTTTAGGGCACATAGTCATTTACCCTGTCCTCTCTTTATCTATCTTTTCCTCTGTAGTCCTCCAGGTTTTACAGAAGAAATAAGTTGTTCCATTTTATTGTTCATTCAGAGAGTTCTGAGACTGTCAAAGCTGATATTTTTGGACTAAGTGGGTGGGTCAAAATGGATGTAAATGAATCAAACTTTCAATCAGATGTGATATGAGTATAGAGTGCTATAGTTTAGTTGTAATAGAGAGTATAAGAGCTTAAAAGGCCCAGAATAATTCAGACTAAAATATCTTGGGGTCTTTTTCCATTTTAAAGTGAATTGTGCAGTTCTGTGTGGTTGAGGATTGACAGCATAATGGGAACAACAAACTGAAGAATTTCTCACCAGGTAACTGCATTAGTAGCAAAACTCATAATACAGTCTGTTGGTTAAAAAGAACATGAAGGAGCCTTCTGTTTCCTTATGAGGTGTTATATTTTCAAAGATTTTAGTCAATTAACTTAGCTACTGCCAAATGCAGTTATTAGAAAATGGTCTCTATCCTGTAACTTTTAGCAATATAATGAAAGACTAGATAAACATTATTCAAACTCTTCCAAATATTGCCTTCTATTTATGATGCAATTACAACACAAGATGCAACTATGCATTAACAATCCAAAACATTTCCATATGTTCCTCAGGGCCGATTAATGGTTCAAAGAGTGGGCAAAGATTTCAGTGGTCTTTGAAATTTTTATACTTCACTTATTTCTGGATACAACCTTCTGTGGAGTGAAATGTATAGCATGCATAGTATAGAGACAGTTGTAAAATAACATAAAATTTATGTACATTTTTGCTCATATGTTCCACTTACCAGAATCAAGAGGCAACTTGAGGCCAATTTTGTGTGTTCAGGGATGGTGGAAAACACTGACAAAATCAAGCAACCAAAGACAAGGAGAAAACTGTAAAACAATAAAAAAGAGAAATCTCATAAGAAACTTGCCTTATCATGACAGACTCAAGTTCTTACTTCTAGTGAAAAAGGCATCAGACCCATTTAAATGCCCACATTGACTAAAAGTCCTGGAAGAGACTAGCCATTTTGAATATTAAAATGCAATATGATCTCCTCATGTTCAAATGGTCTCCTTTGCCACTTTATTGATGAAGAGAAAGAAAATTGCGTGTGTGTGTAGGTGTGTGCATGTTGCATTTAAATGTCTGCATCTAAGAATTTGAATTTCTCATAAAGGTCTTTCCAAAGCAGGAACTCTGAGAAAGTTCTGGAAAATATGTACCCTGTGAATGCATGCTGAAGCTGTTCTCCTTTCAAAGAAGCAGAATTTGCCTCACGTTTGGCAACATGAACTATCAAGTGTTCTAAGTGGTTATTACTAAAGCTGCTGCTATTTTCAGTCTAATATTGTTCATGAATCCTCATTTGTCATTCATTTATAATAATCATAAGAATAGAAAGGAAACTAATGATTTCCTCTGCTACATGTGTACTGTCTATTTCCTTCCAGTCAAACTGCTTCAGAAATGACCACTAAGGACTGATTTTCATACTACAAAGTAGGAGCAGAAGTCAGGGACCGCTTCTCTCCCAGTCAATCTACAACCATTTTTATTCCCAGGAAATAAGGAATTTCATATTTTAGAGCGTGAGTTGAGTTCTCACAGAAAATGATTAATAGAAAGGGCAGGTTGAGGTTTAAAGTAGAGACTACTGATCCTGAAATGTAAAATTTAAACAACAATATCTGAACTATTTGCTCTGGGTTTATTTTTCCCCTATAGCTTATATCTAGGAAATGTATTTATTCATCTTCCTTAAAATATAAGTTTCTGTATTCTTTAGTATGGCTGTAGAATTCATCCCCCCTGCTTTCTCTTGGCTTGTCCTAACGAGGTTGCAAATCTTTCTTGTAGATTTGTAAATCTCCCAACTTTGATTGGGAGTTTCTAAGGGCCTCTAGCCAGGGATAGGCAAATTATGGCTTGGGGATGAATCTGGACTGTACTGCTTGCTTTTGTAAATAAAGTTTTATTGGCACATAACCACATTCATCTGTAACATATTGCCTATGGCTGCTTCTATGTTATGACTGCAGAACTGAGCAGTTATATCTGAGATAGCATACACACAACACTAAAATACATACTCTGTTCCTTTAAAGAAAAAGTTGCTGACATGCTGGTAGCATGTATTTTTAAAAAAAAAAAACTCTATTTTGGACCCTCCCTGGTGGCGCAGTGGGTTAAAGCACAGCACTAAGAAGCTTGGGCCACTTCCACATGAGTTCGATCCCCCCCTGCCCCAGAGGTGACCACATGGCGGGACAGACCTCTCCTGGCCCGCCCGCTGCTCCCCTCAGCAGTGTACTTCATAGATCTACCTGTTCTGCTCCCACTCTGTCTCTGGTGAGTCCTCTCACCCTCTGCATGTCTGACCTGTACTCCAGTTCTGTATGTATAAATAAATAAATCTTTAAAAAAAAGTTAAAAAAAATCTATTTCAACACAGAACCTAAGTGAAAGTTCATAACTGTTTAAGCTCTACATGCTGATAATAGTTACTAATAATTATATAAGCTAGACATGGTGCTAACCCTATTTCCATGCATTATCCGTAATTTCTCACAAATTGACTGAGTAGAAAGTCAATATTCATGTTTTACAGATACAAAACCTGAGAAGGACAACATTTTGTGACTCATCCAAGGCTATACAGCAGCAAGAAGGTACAGAACCATCTGTCCTTGAGCCACTGCACAGTATTGTCGAGTGAGCCTGCATAGATGACAGTCACAATGACCTTCGAGATCCAGCAAGGCTTCTGGGGAAACTTCTCTATCTCTTAGAACCTAGAAGGAAGAAGTGCTTCCATTTAGAAGAAATCTCCATAGGGAAGCAGTTTACTAATGCAAAGACCTAGTACTTGATGTTAATTGCTCATCATACTTTGACTCATGTACAATGACTTAGGATAGTCTGAATTATAATTTGAATTGGTCCTAATGGTCTGAAAATTGTACATGGAAAATCAAATTCCACTGCAATCACCCACCTTCCTTCCAAGCTTCTAATGAAAAAAATGAAATTTAGGGATCACTAAGATAGTTGGGAGGATGATGTAGCATTTAAAGAAAGACGACAGATGCCTTCTCTCTGGTGAGCAGCTTTTAGATATACCCCAAGTTCATGCTCACCAGAAAACAAAACAATACTGCCAATGGGGCAGTATTTAAGAACTAAAGCTCCTTCTTCCAAGAGCATCCCATTCGTAGCTTTATGATCTCTGTGCTCAAAGCAGGTCCATATTGTGGACTACTTAGCTAATTCCTGCACTAATCTTTGTGTGTTGTTTAATTTTTTGCCTTCATGTCACTGCTTTGCCAATTTTCTTCCTTGAACTGATTTTATCCTCTTTTCTAACGACAGTAGTCCCTGCATTAGAATTAGCTTATTTCTAAAGAAGTGCCTCAGATTACTGCAAGTCAAAGACTGTCACTGCTCTGGCTGCTCAGGGGACCATGAATGGATAAATACACTCGTCCTTCCTTCCTCTCCCCCCCTTTGTCCTCCCTTTCTCCCCTCATCTCTTCCACTACACAACGATTCATCCATTTTCCATTCAGCAAATACTAGGCTGAGTCCTGGGGATATACAAATAAGCAAGATTCTTTTTTTATTTATTGTCATGGAATTTAATGTATAGTGAGGCATACAGAGTAGTAAATAGAAAATTAAAATTGTGACCAACATCATGATGGATAAAAAGGCTAGGATAACCTCCCCTTTTCAGATTTGATTTGATAAAAAGCTTTTTAGTTGGGAACATCATGGATGCTTGTGGAGCAGATGCTGTCCAGTTCCCAAAGCCCAGGCTTCAAGCACAGGTTCATTCAGCAAGAATTAAAATGAGAGCAAAGGAAGACATTCAGAAGGGCTCTGCTGGCTTTGTCAAATGTACCAGGACATGTCACACTACAGTCTGTCACACAAACACACAACCCCCGGACACTCACAAGAAATGACGAATAATGCAATGAAGTGAAGGGTTTGGAGCTGATGTTTAAAGTAGATGTCTCACAGAGCTGGGCCTGAGTGTTGGCAAATTAATAACATGGACTTTGGGGGTGGAAACAGCTGCACATGTCCACCTAGGAGATACTCTGTAAGCACTTTGGTGGATTATAAGCTTTTCATGGTCTAACTGTCCATTTAAGTCAACTACACTCATTAAGAAAGCTTTGGTACAGGGGATGTCTTAAAAGGAGTGGAATCATCAGTTTAAAATAAAAATTGCTAATAGGAAGCAGATAGAGTCTTTTAAGAAAACCTTCAGAAATAACTTCAAAGAAAACTCAACCCGCCTATGTCTCCTCATAAATTGTAAGGTTTTGCTTTAGGAAGCGTGCACTTCAGTATATTTGACGGAAGGCTTTGCAAATGCATTGTGAACTACGACTGGAGCATGCATGCCACATCAGGGGCCAGCGATGGCCATGCTGCCCCTGTCGGACCATCAAAGCCTCCTCATCAGAGAGAATGGCTGCGGCCCATTATCTTCTTTCAGCATCCTAGATTTACCTTTCTTTCTAAATCTGGCACTTTGTAAAATGTCCTTTGTGCATAATTTTTCCATCAATGAAGGGCATTTTGCACATGCAATCTATCCATAGCACATCCCAGCTTCTGTTGCAAAGAAATAAAAATTAAATATTATATTTCTGGTGTCTTTAAAGGTGATTTGGAAGATTTGATTGAAAACACTGCATGATTCTGCTTTCCAAGTGCAATGAGGCTTAAATATTAATAAATACCATCGCTGTAATATCTGCAAGTTGTAAAAATTGGGTCATCATTTAGCAAGTTTTAAAAAATGAAATATTGCATTTTGCATGTGTATGTTGTAATAGGAGACCAGATAGAAGAGACAGCAATTTCTGTTCATATAGTGTGTTTCTTAAAAAGACTTCTGCTAATGTAAATGAGCTAGAACAAAGTGAGAGAACCTATGGTTGTTTAAATATGTAAGGTTGAAAATCCTCTCTCCTGTGGGTGACAAGATTTACACTACTTGATTAGGATAGGAAACTTACATTAAAAAAAAAAAAATTGGGCCCTCCCTGGTGGCACAGCCAGTTAAAGCACAGCACTGAGAAGTTAAAGCTACTTCAGCATGAGTTCCATCCCCGCCTGCCCCAGAGGTGACCACATGGCATGGCAGACCTCTCCTGACCAGCCCGCTGCTCCCCTCAGCAGTGTACTTCATTGATCTGCCTGTTCTGCTCTCCACTCTGTCTCTGGTGAATCCTCTTGCCGCCCCTGCACCTCTGGCCTGTACTCCAGTTCTGTATGCATAAATAAATAAATATTAAAAAAAATCACTTGGACTTTTCTTCCCCCCTCCTTGCTTTCTTTCTTATGATTAGTCTCCATCAGTGGGGTAGTTGTCTTACTCAGAGTAAAACATCCCTCATTAATTTAAAGGCTCCATTGTGTACTTTCAGGACTGTGGTTTACCCTTTGAGCAGTTCTTGCATTCAAACATAGAGGTCATGCTCAGCCTTATCTCACCCCAAGATTAAGGAATCCTTGAGTTTCTGACTGAGCCTTCCCTTCCAGAAAGGTGTCATTTTAAAAACATCACTGACAGATGCAGTAGGTTCTCTTTGAACTTTCCAGCCTGCAGAGCCCTCTGGGTACTCTGAGGCAACAACATACCATACAGGCTACCTAATACTGCACTACTATTTCCCATTTTGGGTTGTCTCTTTATTTGGGTCCTGAACTCATCCAGTCCTTGTTCCTGCTTTGGATCATGTAGGACATGCGTTGCCTCCTCCATATGTTAGTTCCATATTGGAGGTTGGTTTTATCACCATTCTCCATCAGTCTTCAGATTAAATAAACTGGATTCAGGTCTTTGTCTACTTTGCATATGAAACAGTGT